TACCAGCACCGGATTCTCCGCTATAGAGGGTCAGTTACGGCTGGTATAGATGTTGGGCTAACTCACGTCACGAGAATACTCTGGTTGGTGCCTTCCTCTATGAGATTCCGGAAGGCATGATCAGCCATGGCGAAGATATGCGGCTTGGTCTCCTCCCTACTCCGCCCCCGGTACATGTTGATGTACTCCCGCGAGTAGATGGGCAGCGGGCAGTAGGGGTTCACGGTGACGAGAAACAGTCCGGAGTAGGTGTATATCAGGTCAGCCTGGTATCGCATGTGGAGGTTGTGGATGACCGAGGGCTCGTTCAGATGGGTGAGTTCCGCCATGTCGTCGGCCTTGTCGAACTTGGCCGGATTGACCTTGTCGATGGCGTCGGCGTCGACATCCTGCTGTGTGCCATTGTCGCATTGAACGAGGATGCGTCCGCCCGGCAGGTCCTCGACGACCCACCCGCGGACGAAGGCCGTGACAGGATCTCTAAGCCAGACATAGCGCTTGCCGGAGAAGTCGTTCTCGCCTTCCACGATGCCACCCAGGCGCGGAGCAGCGTCGTCGTCCTCGGAGATGAACTGCGGGGCAAAGGTGCCGACGGGCGTGCTGTTGCGGTTCGAGTTGGAGCGCAGGCGTGCCGAGTCACTGCGGCCCAGCGGCGGGCTGGTGAGGTTGGTGAGGGAGCGGTTGCGCAGGTGGCCCATGGGGGAGTCGTCGGCCTCGTGGAGCGGCGAGGAGACCGAGTTCCTGGCAAAGGGAGTGCCGCGCGAGTTGCGGGCGAAGGGTCGGCCATTCGGCGCGGGCCCGTTCGCGCTCATGGTGGTGAGTGGTGGTGGTGTTGTCGTGGTGCAGTCGTCGTCGTATCCGAAGGGGTCATTTGGGCTTAGTTGATTGACATTGCCCCAGTATGTACAGTGGTATGCGGGGACGCGGGTGCAGACATGCAAAAGGAACCCTAGGGAGGCTTTGCTGGTACAGACGCTGCACGTAAAGTTGTTGTAAACAATGACAGCCGCTGGGGCCCCTAGCAACAGCCGGGGTCGTGATTGGGTGGAGCGTGCACGGACATTTCTCGATACTGTCGCGATGCACAATATCTCACGAACTGCCCACGCTCCTCCATCACCGCGCGTCATGGCAAACAACTACGCGCATCCCCCGCCCATGCAGCAGCTGCCGGGCATCCCGGGCATCAACCTCGCCCCGTATGCGCAGAACGGCCAGCAGCCCCCGTTCCCTGCCTTTCCTCCGCCCGATGCCAATCTTTGGGCGCTCTTCCAGAGTGGCTCCTTCCCTCCAGGTGCCCCAAACCTCCCGCCGCCGCCGCCCTTCCCCAACATGGCCTTTCCCCCACCGTCGCTGCCTCCCCAGCCTCCACTGCCCGAGCGCGTGCAGGAAGTCACGGACAGCGACCGCGAAGATGGCGAGCTGAGTGAAGGCGACAGTTCGCCGTCGCTCATGGACAAGCTACAGCAGGATCGCGACGCGGCCAAGCAGTTCATCAAGCTTCTGCACAGCAACAACGTTTCTTACAAAGCCCTCGCCAATGAGCAGCTAGACCCCGAGCTGCTGAGGGGCCTGTACCAGAGCGCAAACCTGCCGTCGGAGCCTGCGCCCATCCTGCCACCCAAGCTCAACGATGCCGTCTCCAAGGCGCCCGCCGTCCAGCCAGTGACTCCCGTCGCGCAAGATGCGCCCAAGTCTGTCGCGTCGCCAAGCACTCCGGGTCATCGTCAGGACTACATAGCACGTCTCCAGGCTGCGAAGGCTGCGAAACAGGCCGCCGCCGCCAAACCCACCACGCCTGCGCCAGTCACCAAGACGCCCCAGCCTGCGACCCCGCCGGCTGCTAAGCCGCCTGTGACAGACGAGCAGAGGGCGCGCAATACCGAGTTGATTAAGCAGCGCTTGGAAGCTATCAAGGCGAGACAGAAGCCGCCAGTCACGCCCGGCTCGCATACACCCACGAGTGCCGCCTACACCCCATCCTTCTCTGCCATTCCAGGTCTTTTCATGGGCGCGTCTTCAACATCGAATACACCTGCTCCGGCTGCACCTCAGCCAGCATCTCTACCAAACTCTTCTACTCCTCACACAAGGCCGCTGGGCCAGTCTCCGCATGCTGACCAGGAAGATGATTCAATGATCATAGATGTTAGCGAAGACGAGTCCAACGGCAGCGATATGGACATTGACGACGATCAGCCCGCTCCTCAGGCAGGCCAGAATTCGCGCCAGGCTCCTGGCATTCTTCCCAACTTCCACTCCGGCGCGATGCCAGCAACCCCATCGGCCGCTGCTGTCGGTACCTCAGGCGCAGAAACACCCAACACGGTCGCGCGTGAGAAGGAGCTAGTGGACAAAGAGAAGCAGTTGGTGGCCATGCGCGAGACCCTCAAGAAGAAGCTCGCTGAAAAGCGAGAGCGGGATAGGTTGGCAGCAGCTGCCAGCGCCACTACATCACCGTCCGCGAGCCAAAAGACTTCGACACCAGTGCCATCTCTCCAAGCCTCCACTCCAGCTACGCTTCCCACATCCACGACCCAGTTTGTATCATTCCCATCACATTCCAAAGACACAAATCGTCTTCGCCGGGCGGAGATCCAGTCTAAGCTGCCCACTTTGGATGCCGAGATTGCGAGTAACGCGAGTAGGATGGCTCAGCTGACCAAGGAATTGGAGCAGCTAACGGCGCAGAACGAGAGGATCGCAAGGGACAAGGAGCAGCTGACCAAGGAGCTGGAAGATCTGGGTGTCGACACAGAGGGCATGTCTCACGCGCAATTACGAGCCAAGAAAGATGAAATCGAAGGCGAGCAGTCTTCGGACTCGAATTCCCCACTCAACCAAACCCAGCCTGTATCGCAACCCGCAGTCAAGGATACTTCACCGGTTTCACTTTCAGCTTCAAACCAACAAACTTCAATACCAATGGCACTCCCTGGACTTGGACAGGATACGGTTCAGCCCGAGCAGGAGAGTTATGAGCCCCCAGAGTTGCCAGAACAGGTCATGTCTGCAGAAGGCGCCCTTAACCCAGCAGCATCACGGATACATTTTAGCCCACAGGATTCACCTACCAATGGCACTCGGACCCTGAATCCTTCGGCGCCAGCCTTTGTCTCGACAGCTCAGCAAGACCAGATCGAAAACACGCAAAGTGATTCATCGAAAGCTGATGCGAGTGCACAAAATGCGATCGACGTAGCTAAGGCCAACGCCAGTGCTGCTGTGGACCAAGAGGTTCAGCAACCTATCACTGCCCCCTCGCCGTCAGAAGAAGGAGAAGTCGACATGTCTGTTTCCGAAGGTGACGAAGACGAGGAAGAAGAGGAAGAGTACGAGCCGGAATACGAGCCAGAAGAATCCGTCGTTATTCCCGAAGTACCCGTGGAAGAAGAAGTAGAGGTGCAGACCAAACCCGAGTATTCGCTCGAAAGTTCGCAAGCCTCCCCGCAAGAAGAAGAGGCCTACGAGCCACCCGACGTCGAAGAAGACATGCCGGATGTCCAGGTCGGCGAAGAATCCACCGCAGATCAGTATGAGCCCACGGCTCAAGCTGAGGCGGGAGATGGCGCTATGGACATTGCTACATCATCTGATGAAAGCTCTGACGACAGCGAATCCGACGACGAGTCTACCCCAGAGCCGGAAATGAGGAAGTCCATCTCAGCGTACAACCCGTTACATCAAGACGCTGGAATAGCTGATGATCTAGCGCCCGAGCTACAACCAGAGGTAACGTCTTCGGCGGCCGCTGGCGGACCTGTACGTCAACCACCATACCGGAGGCCTAGCTAATGCAGACCAGGTGCCTGAGGTGACCGAACAGGACGAAGAACCCGAGCCAGCCAGGTTTACTCCGTACGAAAGCCCGCTGCGAATGTTCAAGTCCTATCGCTATCATCCCAACTATGCTCAAGATATAAATGGTGGCTTCCTGTCCCTGACTTTTAGTCATCAGATCAACCCAGAGAAGCCGCTTTGCCAGTACGAACTAGCTGGCGGCGCATGCAACGACCCTGAATGTCCCGATCAGCACTTTAGGGAAGTTGCTATTACTGGTGCGTTGGGAGAGGCGTTTTTGTCTTGATTTCCGTTGTGTTTTGTTTTCCATTCATGACGGCTATACCTCTGCGCGGAAACTGACTTGTAATCATATAGGTGACAAACTGCTCGTCCAGCTCGGCACAGCGAACCCAGGCAAGACCTCCGAGGAAAAGCAGCGCTGGAATGACGGTCTCCGCGGCGTGCTCAAGGAACTTCGTCAGAAAAACATCAAAGACCCCAACGGCATCGCTGTGGAGATAGCGAGGTATCGCCGTCAATTTCTCAACGACGATACTCGTGTCGTCAACTTGTAATCCTTCTTAGCTCCCCTCTCTGTTCTAGGCCCTGCCTCAGAACAAGCGAGGGTGGCTTCTCATTCATCGTTCCCTCCATTGCTACTGACCTTGATCACATCCACTCAGCAGTCCGCTTCTCTTTGCGTACCCTTCATCGGTAAAAAAGTTGCGACATTGGGGGCGTATCAACAACTCTCTATCTCTCGACTGTAAGCATCGATACCCTTTCTCTGCATTGGCGTGGAGTTCACGGCTTGGGTCTTCGTTTCTTCGATCCACCATCTATCTTTATTGGATGCAACATGGGGGACTAGGACACACTCTAGCCCGTCCACTAGCAACCTGACCTGGTACGTATTGCTGCCAGCTGCTGCGCTCGGACAATTGAGATTCGGTCATCTCGGCGGAAGAGCGGGTGGGTGGCAGCTGCGCGGATATGGTTGGGGCGGTGGTCGTGGTAGTGACTCAGTCTACGTAGGCAACACGAATGCAAATTTCTTCTGTCAAATCTGCATAATCACACCAATGCATAAGCCTTCCGTCAAAACACCATAGCCACATTTGCATGATGCACTTGAATGAGGAATAGGGTACAGCGATTGATTCTCGTCAAGCTACCCTAATCCTTCCCCATCGTTTACGTTCTTGACACATAACATTCTAGTTGGAGATGCCAATAACACCGCAAGCAGGACGAGGACCAGCGTTACCAGTCTTCTTTGACTCCTCGTGTCCACCCTTGCCGAGGTCGTCAGTTCCAGCGTGAACGACAATGGTGCGGCCAACGACGCTCTCGGCGCCAATCAACTTGATCAGCTTGTCCGTGGTGCTGCCCTGAGCGTTGCCCTGGCCATCGGTCTTGAAGTTACCCAAGTCACCGACGTGGCGCTCGTCGTCTTCGGGCGCGCCGTGCGTCTTGTTGTGGGGGTTGACTGGACGGTGGTGTTAGTATGGATATGCATCTCGGCGGCTAGATCTGCAGGGTGGGTGTTCCTGCGTATCCGGTGCAGGGTCGTTGGGGTGTAGGTATAGGTGTAGGTGTGGGTCTGTACTCACAGTGAGGACCAGCAGACGTGCAACCGTTCGTGTTGTCGCCGAAAGCGTGAACGTGCATGCCACGCTCAGCATTGGCGTCGTGGCCAGTGATGTTCCATGAGATGGTAGTAGGGGCGGACTCGTCGGCCTGCTCAAAGGTGACGGTTCCCTTGACGTTCGAGTCTCCACGGAGGACGGCGACTATAGCGTTTGCGTTAGCATATCTGATCTCCTCAAGGGCCCTAGGCTTCAATCCAAGCTTCTGTAGCGCGTTGATGCGCGTGCAGTGTAGCGGAAGGCCATCAGGGTGTCTTGCAGCCGGCGAGCTGATTGGAGAAGTCCAACGACAAGCCCCAGGTACCAACTGACAGCATGGTACTCCTTGTGAGTCCCAAAGCTGTCCAATTGACCTTTTCGAGCGTTACGATACACCTGAGTACCGTGTCGTCGCAAATAATCTGCTCAATCTTACGCAAGGAGCTGACCCCACCTTCCCGCAAGAGGGCAAGCTCGTGAAGCTACTCTAAACATACGTACCGGCTTTGACCATTGTGACGGTTATGTGATGGGTATTGGTGGTATTACTTGTGTATTTTGGGATCTGTGACAGAAAGAGGCGTTGTTGGGGAGGAGATGGGAGGGAGATGTACAGCTGGCTAGAGGTGAGCTTTGAAGCCGCCTCCACCGGCCGAATGCGGGGCTGTAGTGACGCAACGGTCTCTAACGCCGGGCCAGATCCGACGAATGATTAATAGCCCTGAGGGCCCATCACTTAACATGGTTTCTATCGTTTTCTTACACTTTCATGACGTTCAAGGTTTCAGCATATCACAGAGATGACGGAAAGATGGTGTTTTACATCTGATGTCAATTTTACTATCTATTTATTGGAAACCAGCCCATCATGTCTCGTATCAAAACCGAAGAAAGCCGTAAGAGTGTTCAGATGCTTGGTGTGTCTCCGTCATCGGATTACACACTCTATGCCGCTTGGATCTTCTTGCGGAGGATGTCCTTCAGGGTAACGGCGTCAGCGGCGAATTTCGAGATACCCTCGCGGAGCTTCTCGACGGCCATCTGGTCCTCGTTGAAGTAGAAGCGGAACTCAGCCTCGTTGTTGATGTAGGTCTTCTTCTCGATGTCGAGCTTGCTGGCATCCTCGGCGATGAGCTTCTTGGGGACGTCGTCTTGTGAGTTGTACAGCTCCTCGAGCAGGTTGGGCTGTATTCGTTAGTCACATGTGCAGGGATAGAGCCTGCGGGCAGTACTTACAGCAATGGTCAGGTAGTCGCAACCAGCGAGCTCGGTAACCTCACCGACGCTGCGGAAAGATGCGCCCATGACGATGGTTTTGTAGCCGTGCTTCTTGTAGTAGTTGAAGATTTGCTGGACGCTCTTGACACCGGGGTCCTCCTCCTTGGAGTACTCCTTCTTGGTCGAGGCCTTGTACCAGTCAAGAATACGGCCGACGAAGGGAGAGATGAGGAAAGCACCGGCCTCGGCAGCCGCGATGGCCTGGACCTGGGAGAACATGAGGGTCAAGTTGCAGTTGATTCCGTGCTTGGATTGCAGGATCTCAGCAGCCTTGATTCCCTCCCATGTGGACGCGAGCTTGATGAGAACGCGCTCCTTGTCGATACCGATCTCCTTGTAGAGGTCGATGATGTGCAGGGCCTTGGCTACTGACTCCTCGGTGGAGAAGGAGAAGCGCGCATCGACTTCTGTCGAGACCTTGCCGGGGACAATCTGGAGGATCTCCTTGCCAAACTGTACCAGCAGGTTGTCAAGGGTAGTGTCGACCTGGTTCTCAAGGTCGGTGCCGTTCTTCTTGCCGTATGCGACGGCCGCGTCGATCAGCTTCTCGTACTCGGGCTTCTTAGACGCGGCGAGGATGAGCGAGGGGTTGGTGGTGGCATCCTGGGGCTGGTACTTCTTGATGGTAGCGAAGTCACCGGAGTCGGCGACAACGGTCTGTAGGGAAAGTCGGTCAGCTATAATTCTTCCGCAGGCTTGGTGTTGCGCATGTGAATACTCACGGTGCCGGAGGCCTTGAGCTGTTCGAGGGAGCTAGGCATTGTGATGGGTATCTGTGTATGGAATTGGGATTGAAGGTTTGTTGCAAGTGTTTGTGAGAGCACTTGATATGTAGCAGAGGTGAGGAAAGTTATCGACTGATGTGATGTAAAAGTGTTGTTGGGCCAGCTGCATGGGTGGGGCCTTTCATACGTAGCGCCCCTCACCTTCCGGCCCCTCCATGGAAAAATAGCGTCACCGGTGGCAATGGCGGCAGAAGTCAAGCTCAGTCAGCGGTGAGGGTCCTTTCGAGTAACCGCTAGCGATCAGAAATTTTGCCGCTCTCGGAGCACTGTCGTCCGGCCCATCCATCAAGACGCGCTTCGGCATGGACGTGGCTGGACGCGATGCCTGAGCAGATCCCACGTGGCGGCACTCGGAGCAGAGTAATGCACTGTCATACGATTGAGGAGGCTTGTTCTACCAACAACCCACGGCTATACACTATCGCGATGTTATTATTAGCTTATCATCGTGAATTCCCGCGGACATATCCAGGGCAGCTTCGGCCAAAAGGCCGACTTCAGGCTTCTCCATGTTGATAGCTGGATATCACAACTTTGCTTTGCCAGTCGTCTTGCCCCATCCGTCTTGGTTCAGCCATCCGTACACCTCCTTGTATTGTTCTTCAAGATTGCTAACAGTATGGCCCGCTCCACTCGGGCCCGGATCGTTCTGCATCATCAATCATCAGCACACAGTCACACACTCGGGTGGATGTTTTCCATCAATACTTACGTATGCCTCAACTAGCCTGGTCTGTTTCGCACCCACCTCAAGGATCGTGCCACCACCCAGATCGGTTTCTTCCAAGCATCTCAACATGGCGACTGCCACTTCTTCGGGTGTCGCCCACGCATCCTTGGTTTGATCAACGAACGCCAATTTCTCCGGATGCTCGGTCCACAGTGGTGTTTTGATGACGCCCGGAGCGACGGCATTGACGCGAATGTTCATTTCCGCTTCGAGCCTACCCAGCGACCGGACAAACCCGTTCATCCCGTGCTTGGCCGCCGTATATATCGGCGCGTGGAGGTTGGGGTTTTGGCCTGCAATACTAGAGATGATGAGAACTCTCTTAGGATTCTGCGCACTCACTCTATCTACACCAGGTGGTGGATTGAGGAAATGCGATATAGCAAGCTGGGTCGTGCGAATGGGATGTGTTACGTTGATATCGAGAGTTGCGTATCGTCCCCCGTCCGCCTTGTCTCTGCTCTCGCTGCCATCGACGCCTGGAGGATGCCAGAAGTTACTCCAGTGGGGATCGTAGACGCCTGCTCCTGGACATACAATGTCGACTTTTCCGAATTCCTGTATTCCTACTTCGAACATGCGCTCCAGCTGCGGCCAATCCGTGACATTGGTCTTGAGAAAGACGGCGCGTGGTCTCCCTTGCTCTTGTATGCCGTATTCCTTGACCAGTTGCTCTGCTTCCGGGCGAAGCGAAAGATCGGCTATAAGGACGGAGCAGCCGTGGCTGAGAAGTAAGGCTGCAAAAGAGAAGTTTATACCTGACCCAGCACCAGTGACTATGGCACTTTTTCCTTTGACACTGAATGCATTTCCAGAATTCGTCTCGTTGACTAAACCTGGTTGTCTTGCTGCCATCTTGCTTCAAGCACGCACTTGAACTCGTTCGAATGGTCAATAATGAGAAAACATCTTTCTCATGGCCGTCAACATGGCTATATATGCGACCTAGGTACACGCTGTTCAGCATTCACGCGTCTAACCAGCACGGGATTGCCTCATTGGGTAACGAGAGGGGTAGTTGTGGGGTAACGAGCACCGAGCACTATCGTAGTCGGGGAAGGTTTGCCGAGCTTCAACCCTCTTAGACTACGCGGAAGCTCGTATTCTGGGTCGTTCTACACCATATTTCAAGCCCATTTGCTAATCTCGAAAAAGCCATGACATATTTGACAGCAGTGCTGCATTGGGCTGAACAAATGTTGAGTAAATGATCTTTGTACTAAAACTACGATTATGTACATGCCAACCAGCCAGACAGTATCGAACCTGTCTTATTTGGGATATCAATGTATACCAAGCGCCACCTAACGCCGTATGTGCCAGAAGTCCTAATTCCGTTTCCTCAGCTCACTGCGCTCCTGTCCGTCGATCCCACTAGTACGCGGAAGAGGCTCGCCATTGCCCGTGCCTGAGACGTGGCTCAGCCGAATCAGCTCATCCATCATAGCATCTCTTGTCTTCTTGAGCAGCTCATCGACGTGCTCTGGTCCCTTTCCTGTTGTCTGTATTGGCGGCAGGACTGTTACATCCACCACGCCTGGCGTAAATCTCTTGCCCTTTACGTCTAGAACGTGGTAGTAGTTGCCAACGACGACGGGCACGATTGGGACTTGTGCTTGTACGGCAAGATGGAAGGCGCCTTTCTTGAAGGGCAGAAGTTCAGGCTTCGAGGCGTAGGAGCGCGTGCCCTCGGGGAATATGAAAACGTTCTGGCGTGTTGTCTTCATGGTGTGTGCGGCAGTATCAAATGCGGCGCGGGAGGAGGTGCGGTTTGCGCGGTCTATGAAGACGGTCTTGGAGAGGGCCATGAACCAGCCGAGTAGGGGCACGTATTTCAGCGACTTCTTGGCCGTGACGGACGTGTATTTGGGGAACATGCAGCCGAGCATGAGGACGTCGAGTTCGCTGCAAGGAATGTCAGCGCCGCAGTCAAGAGTTGGCATAGCCAAAGGACCTGGTGAACCCACGTCTGGTGGTTGCCCACAAAAATGGCGGGACGGTCCCTGAGGGCGTCTTCTCCACTGAGACCGCCCTCTTTCTTCATGCTCCCCGTCACTCTGAATGTTACGCCGGTGCACAACCACATGACCCATTTGAACGCCCGCGCAACCGTCCACTGGATCAGTCCACCATAGCCCACGAGACGTAGAGGTATAGCCACGAGGGTGCCGTACAGCGCGCAGCAGAGCATGAGGAGCATGGAGCTTATTGCGAAGGCGTAGTACGACACCAGCTGGGCGGGCTTCGCGGGCAGCACGAGCGAGAGCAGGCGCATGGCGATGATGAGCGCGGGCGGCATGGCGGCGAGGTAGATGAGCCAGCCCATAGCGAAGGCTCTCGTCGGGGAGGGTGAGGGAGAGGGGGAAGAGAGGTGCGTGTGTTTGTATGTGTTCGTATTGCGGGTGGAAGAGAGTCGGAGCTTGGTGGGGACATTTTTTGTCACGCGCCGAGGTTCGCTGCCTCGCCAACTCGCTAAATGTCATGTGTACCGCCATGCCACTCATCGTGATCCCTTCTCCTCCACAGAATGCCCTGAACTGGTCCGCACCAGCATGTCGTCTCTCCGCCGCCTTGACCAAGTTATTGCTGCGACGCAGAAGGTCGTGATAAATACAAGTAAGAGAGGAAGCAATATCCACCGCCAGGCTACCATGCATCCGACCCTAACTTTGATCTCGGTGTGTTGCGCGCCGTCAGCCAAAGGGAGATCTAGCACGGCCT